GCTTTGACTCCGTCTTGCTCCTACCTGCTCCTGGAGAAGAGGTCCCCGCCATGTCTCGCTACAGCCTCCACAACCTCCTGGACTGGATGTACGGCGGGGTGGACCCCAGCTTTGCCGGCAATGGAGGGCCGGAATGCGCCGCCTTTCTCTCCGGCCAGCAGCGCCTGCTGGAGAGTTTGGTGTTCCTCAGTGTGGGCACCGTGGAGATCCTCGTGTCCCTGTGGAAGCTGAGGCAGCAGCACGTCCAGGAGCTGGAGAATCTGCTGCAGCAGCCCCAGACGAAGCGGGAGAGCCTGGGCAAGAACGTGCTGCTGGTGCTGCTCTGCCTCATCTTTGGGCTGGAGGTGGGGTTCAAGTTCGCCACCAGGACTGTCATTTACCTCCTGAATCCCTGCCACGTGGTCACCATGATGCAGGTAAGGCTCGTGCAGGGTCACCTGGAAGTTTGCTTTTGTGATGTACTTGCAAAACAGTATATTCCCCCCCCATAGTTGGTTTGTGGAACAAAAGTGCCTAGCAAAAATACAAATGCCAAGAATGGTATAAATATTTTAAAACATAGATTTTGGGTCAATTGAATCAAAAGGTATCAAAAAACCCAAGTCAGATGAAAAGGTGAGATTGTAGCTATAACTAATGTCCAGATCTCTCGTTGAAAGTGTAGATAATTAAGGCTTTCTCATCACTTGCCTTCACCTGATCCATGTTCAATAATAGAAGATGCTGTTTGCACTGACAGCAGTGCTAAAATTTGCACCAAATGTAATGAAAACAAGATTAAATGCAACACCAGCTATGTAATTTATGTGCAGCTTTTTCAAGCAAGTGCCTTCTAGGGGTGTGATTCTATTTTGTGAAGGTGTTGGAGAAACAAATTACTCATTGTGCAGATACTGTTGGTTTACCTTTCTAATTTTAGAGGCTGAATAGTAAAGAAACAGGTGTTACCTGTTTCTCATATGTGGGGTGAACAAACTGATGTGGCCTAACATGTGTGGATAATCCATTTCCTTTTATGACTTGGGGCATGGTTGTTGATGTGTAATAATTTGCTGTTTGTGTAGATTTCAAAATAATGGATACACAGACTAACTGTTACTGAACTGAGCTACCTAAAGCTTATAAGCTGTGTTTGTTAATATTTCTGTGCATGTACTTAACTATCAGTTTTGCTGAGCTTGCTATAGAGTTGTTATGAGCTTGTTGGAGATGTCAAAAATATTATTATTTTGCTAATTTTATACCCTCAGCACTGAATAGCTTAAAAAATTCAAGGTCAAGAATTAAGCGAAGAATGTCAAAAAGGCTTTTCTGAAAGTTGCCATGACAGCAATGTCTGTCTAAGATCAATAACAGATGAAAATCAGATCAATGCCATTCTGGGTCTCCTATTGCAGCATGTGAGGTGATCTGGGCAGAATCAGATCTAGCCAGTCGTTGGATTCACAGCTGGAGAGCATTTCCTAAAAGGCAGGGAAATATCTTTTCTGATTGTTCCAGTGGTTTGAGAGATGAGTTTTATTTCAAGGGCAGGGGGACAAGCTGATACAGCAATATTCAAGACTTTTACAGCAATCAATTTACAGTTCCAGAAATAAGTAGTAGGTTATGTAAATTCCTAGGCTGTGATGCAGTGTTTGCTCAGTAATTTACAGCATAGGACACTTCCTTCCCATGAAGTGATAAAGGATTGTTGTGAAATCAGCCAGTCAGTATTGGGGTGAAGGTATGCAAGGACTATGTAGAAATAATTAAAATAAATTAATATGGCCACATTTCCTTTCTAGGCAGTACACAATGATAACTGGAAAATTTTCCTATTAATTCTCTGGAAAAGAGGTGAGGCTATATTAACAGTAGGATTTGGTGAGAGTTTAGTTGTCTTTATGTTATGATGTTAACAATAAGTATTCAGCTGAATGTTTCACAGACCTGGGACAGCCAGCTCTGTTCACCTCTTTCAATGGTGCCTCCTGAGAGGAGATGGAGTCTATTGGGAGTTAAGCTCTGTAGTCAGGCATTGCCATTTCTGAATCTCTTTTTGACTAATTGTGAAGTTTTAAAAATAATCCTAGCTAATTACTCACTAGAAATGGTGTTCCAGCATTTGTGAAATTGAGAGGGTGAGCATATTGGCAAAATGTGGAAGTCATGCCCTTTCATCCTCAAAAAGATGCATTAGAAATAGGCTTAGGCTTAATGTAGAGAAAGAAAATAATGGCAAAACCAATGGCTTTCAGCAGACAAAGAGAGTTAGAGCCAAAGATTGTCAATGACCTTCACCAGCAGACAAGTAATGCATAGTTGGAAAACATTGTTTTCGTGGCCTGAATTTGCTGAAGGCAGCAGATTTGTAAGATGAAATATATGAAAATATATTTGCCCTTCACTTCTCTTCTTGCAGTAGTGTGTACATAATGCTGCTCTGTCTAAATAATAGCATGAACAAAGTAGAAGGTGAAGAGATGAAATGTGCTACAACAATCAAGATCACTTCAAAGGGAAGCCAACAGTAGCTGTTGATAAAGGTCTCTTCTTTCACTCTGTTTCTGTTTTCATTTTCTTCAGCTGAGACTGTTTCACCTCAGCAACAAATACTCTGGGCTCTGAGCCAAAAATATTTGAAACTCAAAATTATGCTTCAGATTCTCCCTGCATAAAAGCAAAATTCCTGCTCTTAAAAGACCTAAGACTGAAATGAGATCAAAGTAAAATGGAAGCTAGGTGTGCATGCATTTGGGCAGATAAAATTGTGTAATACAATGGCTGCTGAGTTTTAGAAATGAGTCTGTTCTGACCAGGTGTCTGCTTTTTGCCTATCATGCCAACCTGTTCAAATCTTTTCATAAGTGGAAAGAACTAGTTTGGATGTGTCATTGCAGGGATGAGGTGTTGATCAAATGAATGTTTTTAACTGCCTCAACAGGTCTCATGGCCAATCAGCTTCCTAGAATTTGTTGCCACCCTGTCATCTGCTGGAGTTACTAGAAGCTGTGGCACTCATTTCCTGTTCTGGGTTTTGGCTTCTTGCTTAGCTTTTGGAGGAAGAAGGGTGTTTCTTCACCAGTGAGAGAGGAATCCTTTTAGTCTTAAAAAATGATATATATTTTGTAACAAAGGTGAATGGAAACTGATGTGGTTTCTCTGCCAGCTGTGGGGTGGGGATGGGGACTGTTTGTGCAGCAAGGGGAGAAGTCTGTGAAGGAATTCATAGTGAACTCTATCTTTACATAAAAAATGGTCTTTGTGAAAATTATTTGAATACCTTTGTTAGAAAACAAAAGCCACAAACCACTCTCCTTTTAGGACTGGCAATTTGATTGGACCAGTGCTGCTGCAGACCTGACATAAAAGGGAAATATTAAATCCCCAGGCTGTTCAAAACCTTTGCCTTTCCATTGCAGGAAACAAAAATCAGCATATGTTCAAGGAACCAGGTGTTATATTTTCAAGACATTAATCCTTTCTAATATTTTAGAGGACATAATTGTGATATTGAAATTGGCTATGTGAAGGAAATGTTTAAAGTTTCTGATTGAGCAGTGTGAGAGGGAAGATTTCCTCGAGAGCCAAGTACAGCACTATTGATTTCTTTACAAGCTTTGTGAAGGAGACCTTGAGCAGCAGCCAGGTCTTGTGCTTGTTGAGAACTCTGCACACAAGTGATGTGTCCCTGTCTATGAGCATTGCTTTCGTGAGGTGAAAGGAAAATTTCAATCTTTGCAATGTCAAACCAAACGATTTCTAACCAATTTTCTTTATCTGTTCTGTATTCTTTAAACTATACTTGTACTAGTTTGAAAGCAAACCAGTGACAGATCCCAAGTCAAAACTACAACTTAACAGGAAGATTAAAATAAATGCAATAGTACAAAACCAGTGAGAGGGTCAGGATACAGCCTGACACCCTGTGGGTCAGGGTGTTGGCAGCAGTGCAGTTAAGGTGCCTGCAGAGCTCCTGCAGTGACAGGTTCTGTTCTGTGGGTCTGTTGGAGCAGTGAGGCTGTGGAAGGGTTTAATTTTCATCTGAGGGTCCAGTGGTGGTGTAGATGGGATTCCTCTGGGAATCCAGTGAGAAAAGGCTGCTCTGGTGTTCCCAATCTCAGGTTATATCCAGGTAGGAATGCTTGGCTCCTCCCCCAGGGATGATGTAACTGCATCAGTCATGCACTGAGAGCCAATGGCCCCTCAATGAATGTCCCCCTGGAGGGAGGATGGGGCTTGGAGGAGATGAAGAACTCTGCCCCACCTGGTTTTAACAGCTGGCAACAGAATACATACGTTTGGTTACATCTGACATTGTAACCTAAGATGTTACTTTTCAGCCAAAACCCTTGTGTTCATGTAGCAGTTCTTTGTTTCACATTTAGTGAAGGAGCAGTTAGAGTTTATATCAAGAACTTGTTTTACATCATTTGTTCCTGTACCCCCAGTTTGTAATTTGACACATAGAATTCGCAGCCTGCTATTCACAATCAAGGGAACTTAATGCAAATGAGCAAACACAGGTGTCTCTTGATGTGCTGAAGACACCCAGCTGGAGTTAACAGGCAATTAAAATTAGGTGGAGACAGGAGCCAAGGCTAAAATTGGTCTGTATTGCAAAAGAGAAACTTGTAACCAAAAAAAGAAAAAAGTAAGAAAAAAGCCATCTAAAGCAGAGGTTGTAGGTAATAATGGTAGAGTGAAGTGAGGTTAAAGGGTTCTTTCCAGCATGAATGATTATGTGATTATTATAATGCTTTTCTTTTTTAAAGGATCTTCAGTATTAAACACTGCAGGTTATGACTGACCAGTCTGTAGAAATTAAAACAGCATGTGTATAACTTTATTGAAGTATTAAGGAAGTGGCAGAAACATGACTGCAGTCTAATCCTAAAATGATGGGTACAGCCACTTGTTCTTGTAAACTGTTGTGGGTTTTGAACTTGACTTTAGTATGTCTAGGCCTTCTTCCAGAATGGTGCTTTAATACCAATCTTAAAATACATTTTGTAATTCTATTTTATTCTAGAAACAGTTTTGCAAAAATAATTTCTCAATGGTGAATTTCAGCTAGTTAGTTATTGTAATTCTCATCCAGTTCTTCACTGAATTAATCCACTTCAGCCAGTTAAGGACTGACATTTGTTTGGAATAAAGAAAAGTGTGTTTGTAGGAAACATCTGTTTTGCTGGGCTATTGCTTTGGTGATTTTTTTTTAGTCAAAGAAAAGTAAATGTAAAAGGGAAGCAATAGGTGGAAAGAAGGATAGGTTTCACCTGGTGATTTTGGTCTGATGTTTGCATAAATAAAGTGAGTGCTAAGTGCATCTGCAGCTCAGTAAATACTAAATTCTGTCTTCATTATTTCCAGTTCTGGTTTCTTTAGAGACCTGGATCCTTTCTGTCCTCTGCAAAAGATGTTGCTGTTTTCT